CAAGGCTTTATTGAGATAAATTCAGTATGATGGGTGGTAATTGAGGGTGCTAGCCCACAGTCTTGTCTTGTGGCCATTATTCATTGATGAAATGTTGATAGTCAACTTTTGTCAATCCCTTAATGTCATCATCAAGATATGATCATTTTTTGTGGCCTCGCATTTTGTCATCAGCTTGTTTGGTGTTTAAATCCATTAAACCTTGAAGCCTTGTACGGATATCCTAAGCTTGAGCCATTTCCACTTAAAATAAGTACATCTATATTCTAAAAGTATTATCCTTTTGCGGAAAATGGTTGATGACATTACCACAGTTATCTAAGCAAGTAATTGGAGACTTTTATGATATTTAGATTTTTCGTCGTACAACTTTAGTTCTCCTTTCTCTAGATCCAGAATTTTTTAGTTTCCTTTATAAACCTTTGAATTCATGATTCTAGCAGAAGGAAAATGTGCATGCTGAGTTCTTATTTCTCTAACCTCATAAACATTTGAATTCACATTTCTAGCAGAAAGAAATGTGCGAGCCGGTTAGGGGGCGTTTGGAAGCGTATGTTTCTCACAAATTTGTATGTTATATGTTACTGATGATTTCATGCTTCCTTGAATCATCAATTTTAAACCTAGCAATATAAAATCTGATTGAGGGGGATATCTCTTATTGAATTTTGCAATTAAGTACATCATATTTTCACCTGCGAGATTTTGCTAGTGTAAGTAACTAAGTCGTGATGTGGAGATCACACGTTAAGGGCCTTTCTTGGACCTCGCAAGATCATATTTTTTGAACTTGCCCGGCCCAACATTCATGACATGTGGAAGTAATGAGATAAGGGCCTACCTTAACCATGTAGCTAGTTTTGACTTCCTATCCGACTAGCATACTACTATTATATCTCATTTTTTGTAGACCATAATAGTATGCTATCTCCCTCTTCCAAGAAAGTAACCATGTTTTCAATAAATACCAAGCTTGTGATAGCATGATTGTGCTATTTTATCATGTCAAACCTTCATGAATGATGGAATGTGAGGCAAGAGCTGGCATTTTACAATTTCTTTCCAAATGTGCTGATGTCATCCAGTTCCCATCTTCTCCATTTGGGCCTTACATATGCTAAATGTCTATATAATATCTACGTTTCTTGAGGTTTTGATGGGTTTTTTGGTTATTGATTATCTGTTCTCTCAAAGAAAGCTTGTAATGTGGCCTTGTGCTTCCAAAATCACTTTTACGGTGATGGTTTGTATCATATTATTTTGTGATCACCTTGTAAATTTAATGATGTCTGTAAACCTTTTGTATATACTGTTTTGTCAAGATGATATTTTGTGAACTGATAGAATCAGAACGTGGTCTTTGAAGGTATGTCAAAGCTATTTCTTATTTCACACTACATGTCACCACCGTTCATTTGAATTTATATCACAATTTGTTGTTAGTCAATGCTCATTCTTGAACTCAAACCAACTTTATACGCTTTGCTTCATTAAACTCTGGGTGTTCCTTGTATTTTGCTTTTTCAAGAAAGTGTTGGATGGTCTACGATTTTAGATAGTATTATGGTAAGTAAAATTGCACCAGACATAAGTCAGGTGTCCACCTTCTATTATGTGGTTGATACAGTTACATGTCTGGAAAATCGACAGTTGCCCCATCGTTACAGATGTGATAATGCTTCTTAAGCTCAAATCTGCTCCATTTGGGCCTTACATAGAATCTATATTATTGATATTTTTTATAATATTTAATAATCTTATTACATTGTTGCTTATCTATACTCCCTAAGCAAAGCAGTGAGTATGCTTTTCAGTGGATAGAGATGAATAAACATCTACATTATTTTTGAGTTCAGCTTCAAAGCTAAAGACCTAATCCAGCTTTTGTTACACCAGTGACGTATCACATCAGATAAGGATCATATCTGCAATTTTTTTTTATCCATTTGTGAATTACACTGAAACTTGACAGCAGTAGTCATGATTTTTTGGATATGGGAACCTATGGTTTTGACCTTCTAAATGCTTAACTTGTACTTATTGAATGCCACTCGAGGTTTTGTTAGTAATTATAGTGTCTTCTTTTGGCCATTAATTAATGTGAGATAATTATGCTATGTTATTAATTCGTCTGTTGGTTATGTTTGCAGATAATGCTGGTGTCATCGTGAATCCAAAGGGAGAAATGAAAGGTATGGCATATACTTTTAAGTAGCAAAAGAAACATCTCTTTTGACTGGGTTGTTGGTTCATCGAGTCTGGCCACATTTTTTTATTTTTTATTTATTTAATTTTTTTTTTTTTTGGGGGGGGGGGTGCTAGTACAAGCATATTACTATCGATTCACATGAATAATTGTGTTTTAATTGATGAGAGAACTCATTAATGTCTTATTAAAATATTAAACATATCAGGGCAATCTCTTTTTCTTATTCTAGTTAATCTGAAGTGCAATGCACTTCACATCGTTTGTTCTAAGGCTAAATTTGGTGTTATCTTACCTTTTTGAATTTTCAGATTTTGAAATCATTTCTTGACAAATTATATCTTACTATCTGCTGCGTTGTTGTTTTTAGGTTCTGCTATTACTGGTCCAATTGGGAAGGAGTGTGCTGACCTGTGGCCAAGGATCGCAAGTGCAGCCAATGCGATTGTTTAGAGTGAAGACCTACCTGTCTTGACCTTGTGATTGAACCCTCAAAATTGTGGAGTTTTGTTAGGTATAGATTGAGGTTCTCGTGTGGTGTTGAGATTTACCTGTTTGTAAGTTATTGAAATCTGGTTGACTTGAGACGTGGCTCATGGTATGGATAACGAAATTCTTCTTTTTGGCTCTCATTTATCAGATGTTACCGGCTTTTACAATGTTTGATATATCTGCTTTCTATCTGGTTTTGTTGGTTTTTTAAGCACTCTTTATGTAAGTTTTGACGTGCCTACGGTGTTTGTGCTTTGCTCTCCCCTTTTTCTTGGTGCGTATTGGCCATTTCATTTTACATCTTTTGTTGGAGGGGAAGGACTGAACTTTGTTACACTGTTCAGGGGAGACAATGTCTCTTTGGGTTGATGTAACATTGAGTTAATGAGATGCAATGTCTTCAATTTAGCTTCTTTATGGGATGGTATTCATTGTTGTTGATTTTGGTCATAATGAACTTCTCGCTGTAATGGTCTGGCTATTAACTACCTACTACCAGTTAAATTAAACCTGTTACCTAATTGACCAAGTTTACAACTCGTTACAAGCTAAAGCCCCACCCGGGAGGGAAATGAACATATAAAACTGCAAACAACAGTGCAAGCATTATTTCTTCTGTCGAAGTTTTTTGTTCCCAGGCAACCAGTCTAAATCATTACACTAAATGTCGAAATGATACCACATATACACTATACAGCTAGGTCAGTAGGCTTCTCGTGAAACTTACAGACCCGATAACTGAGCATTACGAGGATACTAGAGACCATCTTTGATGATAAAACAAACTACAGTAATCAGATTGAACTAGAAAGCAACAATTGCTTCAACTCATTTTCTCTTCAGCTCCCACCTGCATCTTGGCACAGTACTCGAACAAACTTCCATCAAAGCAGCGTCTAACGGCTTCCTTAGATAAGAAACCTTCCTCATCCCGGGCAAGGATATACAAGATCCCCCACTCCAACTTACTTGTAATCCTGCAGAAAATAAAGGTCAAAAAACGAAACCAAAAACTACCAACTGCCACCTCCAACATGTGACACACAAAATGACTATTTGAATTCCGGGCAAAAGAGATTTCCCAACCGAAAAAGCTTTTTAACACTGCCCAATATTTATACAAATCCGTTTTTTTGACATAAAAGTATCAACTTTTTTTTTTTTTTTTGGGAATGTATGAGCAACCAGCAGCCTCAACAAACCAGCCAAAAAGGGCCCCAAAAAAAGCACAAAAATAAAATAAAAAGCAATCAGAAGCCTCAACAAACCCCCCAAAGATATCAAATGCAACTCGATTGCCTTCTGTCATCTCCCACAGCTCTCCCAGACTGAGCTTGTCGGGCACTGTGCGAGCATATTTGCTAAATATGTTCTCAAGATTCACTGGCATGTACCTGGAAATTGAATTGGTATCAGTGATTTTTCCCCAAAGCTGACATAAAGGAGCTGTTTTTTAGTATGCTTACCTTCCCTCTGTGTCATACGTTCCAGAGTCACTCCCATGCTTGGACCTATGTATGTTGTGGATGTATATAGGGAGGAACGGAGAAGGAATCCACCCCTACAATGACAGCAAGGAAAGGCGTTTACAGATGGAAACAGAAGAAATAACCACCAGAATATTTTGCCCATATGCATGCTTGGCCACTAGATAATTGCCACGACTTGCAACTTGACTTGATAATGAGAAATACGAGAACTTCTCCCAAGCAGGAGAATTCAAAAACATTACAAATCTGATTGTTTGCTCATCCACTTTTGTAATGATGAGAAAGATAAGAGAACGTTTGCCAGTCAGGAATACATATATTATTTATAAATGGACGAGGGATTCTAGTGAAATGGCAGGCTACCTTTTGTCTCAAGATTAGGCCATTTGAAAACTCATCATCACAAACATAAACAGCACTACCCAATCAATATAAATGTTTGAAAGTAATTATGACTCATTAATAAATTTGGCTACTGCTCAGGATGTCATTCTCCTGTGCGTGAGTATGATTGAATCAGTATCTTGTTTTCGACAGACAGTGCCTATTATTAAGCAGGAGCAGTGACAGGGCAGCCTCTTCCTGTCCTCCAACCACACTAAGTTCTCTGCATGTTTCAGTCATAGACACTGCTCAAGTTTACTAGTAAGTAAAATTGCCCTCGACACATCACACGGGCACTCCCTAACCTATAATGATATAAAACCCCTAAAATTTGTGTTCTTTAATATAAACAGCCCCACGTGCCACCAGCTCTAGTAGTTAAAAATGGGTCCATCTACCTAAGCAAAGACATGTCACAAGGAGTAAGTTCGAGGGAAATAAAAAAGAAAAAGAAAACTCCACTCTCTAACATACACTCTCTTTTATTCCAGATGTACAAGTAAAAGGTCCCTTCACTCCAAAAATGAAATCAATTCAAAAGGAAAAATTTTCTGGGGATTTCAAGTCGAATACGAAGAATAGTGACTAACATTTCCCCATACTTAGAAAGATCATGCCTCAGAAGAAAAACACACAGATAGTCTACTGAAAAAAGGAGAACATATTAACTTACCGGAAGAGTAGTATAGCTTAGACCTCCATTGATAACAACAGCCATTATAAGAGAGGCAATCATGTTAAAGCCAATTGCCCGCAGACCTGTGTTACAAAATGGAAAGGTTAATAGCGAATGGAATGAGCTAACCCTATATCCACAACCACAGACAAATAATTGAAAGAGTACATTATTTGCCCTTCCACGCCCTTTTGACTCATTAAGGATTAAATTGAACCAACTAAAAAACATATGACTATTTTCAAGAGGACCAAGAGGTAGGGCCGGCCCTAGGCATAGAGCTGCCTAGGCCCCCCGGGGCATCCAAAACATTTAGCCCTCAAGTATATTAGGGCCATTTTTTTGTTCTTTTTTGAGTTTTAGATAAAACTTAGGGGCTGTTTGATTTATGACTCTAAAACAGTTTTCTGTTCTCAAAAATTTGAAATACTGTTTGGATAGCAATTGAGAACAAAAGCTAGAGAACATCATTTAGATGTTTTCTGAGTTTTCAAGACAATATAGAAAATAAGGGAAACAACCCTAAACTCTTTAATGAGGTCTCCCCTTTAAACCTCCTTCGCAGCAAAACATATAGTATAAAAGATTTTTTTTTGCCTATCTCTCCCTCCTTGACTCTCTCACTCTCCACTTCAGGGAAGTCAGACGTCTTCTTTGCCTCCCTGTCTCCCCGATAACTGGAAAGCTTCGATGACCAAGAGAGAGCTCAGACGAGATCGTCTTCTTCAACTTCAGTGAAACCAGACGTCTTCTTTGCCTCCTCATCTCCCCGGTAACTGGAGAGCTTCGATGACCGAGAGAGAGCTCAGACAAGATCTGCTTCTTTGACAATTGAGAGCTCTCCATCTGATTTTCAGATTTGGGTTTCAAATCTAGGTCTTCTCCGGTGTAAGGGTACTTTTCCGATGAAAGGGTTCTTTTAGATTTTCATCCCAATGCACTCCTAACTAATTAAAGAATCAAGCAAGTTCCTTTAACTAATCTCACAATCCCATTCCCCCACTGCACCTTTTAGGTTCTTATTCTAGTCTGCAATGTCTTTTTCTCCTTTGGTCATTATGCAACCAACATACGATGAAGCTTAAAGCCATTAACATCAATCGATGGGTTCGTCTACTCCAGCAAATATCTGGAGTAATGCAATTCAATCAATGGTTAGATTTTCCTTTTTTTTTGTATTTTATCAAATTTATTATATATTAAAATATTATAGGTCCTCAGTTTGTATCTCTTGCCATGTGCATGTTCAAACAAGTTCTCTGTTTTTTGTTCTGCACAACTGTTTTTTGAAATATATAACTAAGCAAATTCTACTACAAAAAAAAAATATATACCAAAATCAATTTTCATAATTTTTCCCTAAAAACATTTTTCAGATATTGTTTGTTAATACGCAAACCAAGCAGACCCTTAACTTTTAGGGTTCCAAATTTTAAGAGCCCAAATGAATGTTTAGCTTTGTTAAGTCCAAAAATACTCTCCACCTGGGTATCTTTTGATCACGCATCTCTCTCAACGTCTCTACTGCACTTCAACGTTTATCTCTATGCTTCTATCTCTCTCGATTACTTTATATATGTTTTATATATACTGTAGGTTAAGTTTTTTCTTCAATTAAAAAAGATTTGAACAATTTAAAACATACGAAAATAATTTTAGATTTTTATTTAGTTTTGAAAAATTAAAATTTTAGATGAAGATAATTTGCAGAAACATTATCTTAAACTTGAAAATTTTCTAAAACAAGATGTATCTACTGATATTGGCTTATTGGATTTACTTTTGGAATTAAAAAGTTCAAAAAAAATTTTTAAAAATTGAAACCAACACTCCAATTGAAATATTAATTTTAAACCACATAAAAAGATTTTCCAGTATGCATTGTTTATAGAATTTTGTTAAAAATCCCAGAAACAATCACTTAAGTGGAAATGAACTTTTACATGCTTACGATAACACCCGTCTTGCAAACCTCTGCAACTTAAATTGATAAAATCTTATTTACGGTCAATTATAACCTAAGAAAGATTGAATAGATCAACTATATTATCTATAGAGAAATATTTATTGATAAAACTTGAATATAAAAACTTAATCAATATTTTTGTTTTTCTAAAAGCAAGAAAAATAAATTTTAAATAAATAAAAAATTAAATTAGAATAATTAAAATATATATATATATATATATATATATATATATATATATATATATATTAATGTATGAAATATAAGCAGGCTCTCATGTAAAGTTTTCGCTCCGTTCATGTTGGCACCCCTGCCAAGAGGGAACGGTGCATTGGCCTAGTGGCCAAGGTAAAGCTATTGAGTGTGCATGAGTACTAATTCAATAAAAAAGAGTCTTGAGGCTCATTTCTTTAGGTTCAGCATTGATGCAACTACATCATAATTATTCGGAGGACAAAGAATCATGCTAGGAGGGTCATAGATTCAACTTCTCACAGATGGTACTAGTTCAAATTCAACAAATTGGTATCTAAGACCGACTCTAGAACACACAAGATAGGTGATCTTCCATGCAGCAGGTTCATCTCGCCACTATATAGTGTCTGGAGACTCGAATTCGCTTAATTTGGCTAATCAAGGTTATGTACAAATCCCTTAAAATGATGATAGAACGGCTAAAAAAATTACCAGTATAGGTTTCCCAAGGATAAACAATGCCATTGTCGTCTTGATCAAAAAAGGATACATGCTGTTGAAGAACACTCATGTTGTGATGCCTATGGCCTGGTGTTCCAGTTGGATGATCCATGTCAGGGGCAACCAACCCTCTCGCCACATCTGCATTGACACATCAAAGAAAAAATATTGGGAGTAAATTGTATGAGATATAGAAGGCTTCATCATCTCGGTTTGTCATTCTGAACCTAGGTAACCAAAAGATGCAAACAGAGGCTGAATCACAATATGATTAGTTGCCCCACTTAATAAGCTTATGGCCAGACAAGATAAAGAGTGGTTTTCTCATCCCAACACCCAATTTCCTCATAAGATGCACCACAAAGCCCAAAAATAATATAGATAAGGCCTAAAAAACACAAATATGGACACAAGTGTCGTATTCGATAGGAACACGGGGAAATATGACAAAGTTCAAAAATATAGGACATGAATATGGCTATTAAAATAATATAATATATTTTTTAAATAATAATAGATTTGTAATATATTTAAAATAAAACATATAACAATATTATTAATAATAAAAATTTACAAATATTAACTTTTTAATTAAGATTGAAATAGATCAAAATACTAATTATTAAAACCTAGCAAATATTATTTTTTTAATTAAAATTGAAATAAATCAAAATAAATATCCATAATTTTTATCAAACATCAATACATCCATCAACATTATAAGTTACATAACAAAAATTATATTTAAAAAAATAATAATAATAACCTCTCTTTTAATAGTCAAGAATTGTTTTTTTTTTTTTTTTAAATTCCTCGCCATCAAGACTGTGTACTGGCCGACACATGTCGGACTAGGTTTCACTACTCGGGACATTTCTAACCATGTTCGACCGTGCTTCCTAGGATAAGGCTAAAAGGGTAATCAAAGATCTGCTGATTGTCTCAGACTACATTTATATAATCTAGCTGCAATTAAATAATTTAATTTTTACCTGGTCTAATTGACAAGAGGAGCAGAATAGGAGAAAAGACCTTTCTGTGAAGGAATCTATCTTCTTTGAATTCATTCTTACAAGTCACAACTACTTGCAAGGGCTGATCATAAACGTGTATTAATGACAACCAACGCGAAGCCCTATATAGTTTTGAGGTTGGATCAACAATGATTTCTGAATGCAGAAGATGAGCAATGCTACTCTGATAAAGGAATCTGACCAAAATTTCCTTACCAAGTCAAGTGGACTGTCAAATTAGAATACCTACTCACATTGTCTGTGGGTGACATCAGTTGCCAAGTAAAATTCGATAAGAGGAATTAATCAGAGTATCAGTATTGATCACTCATACTGATCTTCCAATTTCATAACCTAAATCTTTTATTTCATTTTCCAAAGATGAATAATCAAAATCAACACCTGTTCACATATATTTGCTAATCAAATTCAATTAACAATAAGCGAATAATCAACGAGTCCCGATACTAGACGGATTCATTGTCAATCAAACCATAATCATAAATTAGGTGATCAAATTGATTCGACCAGCGTCACTATTTACTAGAGAGAGAGAGAGATTACAAGGTTTTGGAATATAATTTTCCAAGTCGTTCCGAACCGGCCGCTCGATTGTGACTGGCGCAAGAGCCGCCTCCGTCGACAGTGCATGTCTATCCGCCACCACTACCACTGGGGTATCCCTCTTCTCCGCCACCGCTGCCATCCCTCACTCACTCACTCTCCCTCCCCGCCTTCTTTCCCCAACCAATTCTTCACAGTGATTTCGTGAATCGTACATTCTCTTCAGGCTTTCATAATTCATATATAAAGAGCGAGAGAGTCCGCAAATGCTGAAACTTTGAAGCACCGTGGCAGGCACGAGAAGGGTAAGATTACAAGTGGACTCCATGCAGGTGTCCACGTGCTTCTGTTTTTGCCACGTGTTGTCTTATGTGTCATCGTCTCCTTCATATTGGGTTAAAAAAGGTATTTAAAAGGGAGTTCACGTGACATGAGAGTGTTTTAACTTGGTATTTTTGTAACTGAAAATGTATTATTTTTTTGGATTTCTTTCTATTAATTGAGTATTATATGGATTCTTATAAAATTAGATTGATTTTTATTTGATTTTGTCATTTCTTAAATTGAACGGTTTTCTAATTTATAGAGATTATGGATAGTAGATTTAGTTCGCATAAAGTTCACTGATCAACACAACATACAACTCTTTATTGTATTGCGTTTTACTAGTGTGTTTTTATTATTTTCTTTTATACCATGATAAATTTTTGATTAATAACCCTCAAGAGAAGAAAAAAAGAAGAAGTTAAGAGGCTATTTGGTTCAATCCTAGACACTCTAACATCATTTTTTAAACTTACCTTTTTATTTTAAGTTATAAAATAGATAAATAGACACATTCTATTGCACTAATCAGGAGTGTCCGTGGTGACTAAGGGTGGTCGAAGACAAAAAAATGAGTTATTTATACCATGATCTATTTGAAACTGCCACATATAAAAATTGAACACAATTTTGTACAAAAAAAAAATAGCCCACTTGTGTTATCAAGAAGAGATGGAAAACCATTCTCAATATTATTTGATTGAATAGTTGACCCAACTCCTTGTTGTTTGAAGAAACTCTCCATTTCAATTGATATTTTTTCACAAAAAAATGCATGAGATAATAAATTCAGTGTTTCACTAAGATTTCGTATAATGGGTCTGAATTCAATAAATAGATTAATTTTTTATATTCATTTTTATGTGAAATCTATGTTTTTGTGTGTGTGTGTGTTTTTTTTTTTGGGGGGGAGTGTTCGAAATCTTGGATAATAATTGGAATTATCTATCATAACCATGGAATAAAAGAGTTAAGGATGAGTGGAGCACATTTTGTATACTAGTTACGAATTTTTAAGAAAAAATTAAATTTTTAATTTTAATTTTATTTCAGTAAATGATATAATAGTATATGAATTTTGGTTGTAAAATTTAAAATATTTGATATTCTATTTTTTATTGGAGTATTTTTTGTCTAAGTATAATATTTTAAACTTAAGGGATTTAAATATTATATACCTACAAATTTCAAGGGGTCTAAGTATAATTTATTAACGGTTATATTTATAACAAGAGTCTAAGCGTTACACGCGTACAAATCTCAGGGAATTTGTGTGTAATATTTCACATATTATGGGATTTGAGTGATTAAGTGACAAAATTCAGGAAATCTAGATGTAATTCTCCCTATAAACATTTATAAATAACATGAACATAATATTTATGTCAATAAAACAAAGCTTTTCTACTTGAGTCGCCTAAGTTCCTCAGTTAGAAAAACACAATGAGGGTCCAGATCATTTGATTCAATAATTTATATTATGATTTAATTTTTTAACCTCATTTAAATTTTAATTTTTAACTACAGTACCTCACTCAAATATGGACCGACTAAAATAAATGTGAAAATTGGAAGTGAATCCCGCTAGTTGTATTTGTTTGAAGATAAGTCATGTAAGAAAACTTATAAGGGACTAAGTTTGTGTTTAAAATTATATGTAATGACTTAAGTCCACTTTTTTTTTTTTTAATTTCAAAAATACCCTTCCTTGAAAGTAAGTTAATATTTTCTCTCTCATATCTATTTATATTCATATATAGGTTAAGAGTTTGACTAACATTAAAATTTTTTCTCTCTCTTATTTATCTATATCCATATATATGTTAGGTATATATATATAGTAACATTAAAAATAAAAAATATTAACATCCAAATAAAAAAAAAGTTACTATGAATTTGAATAGTAAAATTCAAATTCATGTTACTTTTTTTTTATTATGTTACTGCTTTTGTTGAGTATGTTACTGTTCATGTACTATTATTTGTGAACATGTTACTACTATTATTTTCCTAAATATTAATATTCAATGTAACTATTTTTTTTAAAATATTACTATTTTTTGTATTTGAATGATACTATTTTTGGCGTTTGAATTTGAGAGAAATTATTATTGTTAAGTATGTTACAGTTTTTGTTAAGCATGTTACTATTTTTGTTAAACATGTTACTATTGTTATTTTTTTAAAAATATTAATATTGAATGTTTTAATTAAACATGTTACTGTTGTTATTTTTTAAAAATATTAAAATTGAATGTTTTAATTTTTTTATGTTTAAATGTTACTATTTTTTTGTGTTTAAATGTATTATTTTTTGTGTCCAAATGATAACTTTTTTTTTTGTATTTGAATTTTACTATTATTTATATATATATATATATATATATATATATAAGAGAAATTTTTTAATATTAATCAAACTCTTAACCTATATATGGATATAGATAGATAAGAGGGAGAAAAAATTTTAATGTTACTAAAACTCCTAAGATTTAAGAGTTTTTAATTTTTAGTTTTATTTCACTTTTTAAGGGAAAGGATAGTATGATAAAATTGACAAAACACAGATTTCATAACAAATAAATTTATTTGACGGACTTAAGTTCGGGACCGGCTTCCAAATTTTCCAAAATAAATATTGCATGGACCGAGAACCAGCCCAACCTAAATATTATGCTCTTGGGGGTACCTCACATTTCACAACCTCACCTGGTCAAAACTTATGGGCTGCTTTTAGAGGCCCACCTGGGCCGTTGTTACAGGCCCCCATTTGTAATATCACGAAGTGTTGAGAGAGAGAGAGAAAGGTGGAGATTTTTTAGAGAGAAAATGGCGAGTGAAGCGGCTGTGGTGGAGGCGACGGCGGCGGGGGCAGAGGAGGTGGCGAAGCAGCCGCACAAGTTGGAGAGGAAGTGGACTTTTTGGTTCGACAACCAGTCGAAGGCCAAACAAGGAGCTGGGGCTTGGGGCAGTGGGCTTCGCAAGGCATATACCTTTGACACCGTCGAAGAATTCTGGTGGTATTAGACCTAATTCTCTCTCTATATACATATAGATTTATGAATTCCTAGTATGGATCCATAGTTTCTTTTTTGGTTATCCGTTGGATCTGTTTCCTTTTTGTCATATCGAATATAAATAAAGTGTATATTTCTGTTTTTTAGGTATATTCGTATTGATTTTACTATTTATGGGTATCAGTTTGTGCTAATTTTATGTGATTTTAATTTATTTATCCCTTTTTCTAGATTATATAGGTTCTTCGTTAAACGAAAAAACTAATTCTAGATTACAGGTTTTTCAATTGTTGGGGTTTTATTCTTCTTCTGGTATTTTGAGCATTGTGTTAGTGAGAATTAATTTAGAACGCGAAATTTGAGCGAAATTCTTTAATATGTCTATCATAATTACACTTCTATGATCTTTCTTCTTTCTTGTAGGTATTTTTCAATTTTTTTTCCTCTTCGGGGGAAGGGGTTTATTATTTGATTAGAGCACACTGGTTTTTGAATAGTCCACTGACTCCACTGGGTTTAGGTTATTAATATGAAAACAGTGAAGATGATTTATTCACTTTGTATTGAAGTAGTGAAGTTTCTGGCAGTTTATATGATCAGATATTTAGGCCCAGCAAGTTTCCTGCAAATGCAGATTTTCATTTGTTCAAAGGTGGGATTGAGCCCAAATGGGAAGATCCCGAGTGTGCTAATGGAGGCAAGTGGACTGTTACAAGTAACAAGAAGCCTGATCTTGACAATATGTGGCTTGAAACTGTAAAACTCTTTATCTTCTATATTTTATTCTGGCACTTTCATTTTGGAATATGAGAATTTTGATTAAAGTGGCCATTAAATTTGTGGCCTTTGGTTCGGTCACTAATTGGATTTTTGTTTGGCAGTTGATGGCTTTGATTGGGGAGCAGTTTGATGAGGCTGATGAGATATGTGGTGTGGTTGCTAGTGTGCGTCAAAGGCAGGATAAACTTGCATTGTGGACGAAGACGGCAAGCAACGAGGCTGCTCAGGTTGAATATATTGATTTAACTGCTATTTAGAATGCTGATTGCATTATGGCTTTATATCCTTTATTTTTCTGTTTGTTTCCATGTGGAAACTTTGGTACAGTTTTTGTTAATAACTCCACTTTTTTGGTGTTTTAGTTAAGGTTAGTATTGCCTTATATGAAATACTCTTTCCCTGTTAATTTTTACAATTAATTCTTGTTACTTTTGGTGTAAGTTTTTAGCAAAAAAATATATATAATGGGTTTGGCAGAAATTCTATCTTCATTATTATACTGGAAACTTTCGAAAGAGGAAAAAAATTCTGAAGAAACAAATATTTGTGGCGGGATAAGGAACTGACTAAAAAAGTACACCATATGGTTTTTGAGAGGATGGATTCTCAGACTTGAGCTGATAGAAGAAATGAGAAAATAGTGCAGCAATTAAGCTCAAAAAAGAAAAGCTGTGTATGGAAAATTGTTACTCCTATAAGATTTTTCAGAATTAGTTCTTAGAGGGTGAGATTCCAAAATGCACTTGTATCTAGTGAATAAGAGTGATTCTCTTATAGTTCCATCTCTTTTATTGATGCAATATAGCATTCAGATTTGCTTAGAACAATAATCCTCACTTTTTAGCAATAAGATAACAGGGAAAAAACATTTGGGCCAAAGATAGAGCAAGAATATGAATTTTTAGGCCAAAGAGACCCAAGAAAGGCTGCAATTCTGAATTTCTGAAAAATTACCAGATGCCTTCTTACAAAAACTTTGTTTTATTCAATGATATTTGTTTGTGAAGCTTGTGATTTTTTTAAAGTCCTCCAATTGCTTGGCTGATAGATGTCTCCCATGAAGTCAAGGCTAGAGAGTTGGTTAGATTAAAAAATACGAATTGATGATGCCCTTAATCCTTTAAACAAACATCTTTCATCATTTCTAGTTTTGTTTTTTCTCCACTTATGATCATTAAAAGTTTAGGTCAAATTATCAAATTTGAATCTCCTTTTTCTACCCTGGTTTGAGTTATGGCTTTGAGACCTCTAGTCAATCTGTCAATGGGATCACTTGGTTGTTGCATTTCATTTAGATTGTCAGTGATGTTCCATTGCATGTTTTACACTTATTCTATTTCTAATCACATATATTATAGGCTAAAATGGGAATATTGGAAGGTTTGTTGATACCAAGTGAAGATGAATACTTCCAATTTGTTTCCACAAGCAACTGAAAGCACATAAAATATTATTCAAGTTGGGGCTACCCCTTTCTTCCACCCGCTAGTCTGAGTTTTTGGTAGTATGTCATCCTGAAGCTGCTGGCCAGGAATGTTTTTCTTGTTTTAAGCCCTTCAGAGAGCATCAGATTAATTAATATTGATTCTTTTGCTGTAGATGAGTATTGGAAGGAAGTGGAAGGAAATTATTGATGTCGCTGATAAGATCTCCTACAACTTTCATGTAAATTTCGTTACTCTTAAGACTGGCTGTCTCTTAGCAGCGTGTTTCTCTATTTCTTACTGTTTTGGTTATTTCAGGATGATGCTAAAAAGGAAAGATCAGCAAAAGGTCGATACAACGTGTGAACAATCCTTCGAGGTGTTTCTGGAGTTTTGTCTACCCTTCCGGTTGAAGTGAACCAGTATTAAAGAACCCGAAATTGATGCAATGTTTGCACCTTGCTACTGCTTTTTTGTTGACAGTAATTTGGATTTAAGATGTTCCTTTCCAATGTAGTACCTTGTTTCTGTGCTGACATTTGGGAAATATAAATCACCTAATGTTTTTTGTCAATCTGCTGCAATGTAGCAGGTAATAGATATTCGTGATTTATAAACCGGCGGGGAAATCAACCTCTCTAAAATGAGGATAAGCAACTATTTACCTCTCTTAGACCATGTTATATGTGGAAGTCTGTGGACTAGAAACACGTTCTGATTTTCAGGGGAAACCCAGGTGAAGATGAATAATTTACATCTGAAACTCCTTAAGTACAAAATTTATCACAGTGACCACGAGGCGAAAACGCATTTTCTCTCTCACCTCATGCAAGGAATCCAAGTCTCTCTCCATTCTTCTTTGCCAACCGAATCAATCCTTGTCGAAGTTTCGGATCTGCCCCTATTGATTTGCAGAATTCGGTAATTACCTGAAAGTATATATTTCATTCAATAAAGATGAAGCATATGTCTACTCATTGAAACAACTACTTGTACCGCCATACATATAGTTGCTTATAATAGGTAGGGCACCGTGATTTATCTTTTATTATTAGATAGTTTGCCTTTGACCGAACCGAGAAAAGAATTAGTCGAGGTATTTATAAATTGGTCATAATATCCTTAACCGTTAAAAAAAAAACTATAGTATGTAATTCTAATCACGTCTCAATTTAACTCTGCACCAAATCCACATTTAATTTCAATCCAAATCCACATATGAAAATAGTATTTTAGTTTAGTAATGTAAATTTTGCCCAAGTGAAAATATGCTTGTGGGCAAGTGTATATATGGATCCCGTTGGTTGGGATTGTTACCTGCGAGTGTAAAGCAATTGCTTTGCCTCTAAGCTGGTTAAACCTCTTCCTGCCAATAATATTCCGAGCAAGAACAACCGCCGGAGCGAAAAGACCCTTCCCTTCATTGACATTCTTCATCATTGGCACAGCTCTCACTGGCCTTCCAACTCCAACAAGGGTGGTCGGCACAGACATGGCCAGCATGCTGTAATCTTCACCCGCCATAGATGTTTTCCAACTTCCATGGGAAGAATGAGAGAAACCCCCTTTAAACCCAGTTACAGAAATCGAAGCAGCCATTGAAGACCTCAAGAGCTTGCTGGTTCTGTTGGATATATTGAAGAAATCTAAAGGTTCTTCTTCTGTTGAATCTGTGTGACACGTGTTTGATGGTTGTTCTGTGAGCGACTTGGGTTTTTATTGGAGGGTGGAGTGACAGAAAGCTGAGGAGGCACTAAGAGCCACACATACTCGTGGCTTGGATTTTTGTTTGATGCTCATCTATGCCTATATTTTACTTGAACATGATCTTCTCTTTTGGTCCCACTTTTTAATTGAAGAACAATCTTTGCTCTTCTAGTGCCTCTCTTGATGGGTCATGTCCCACACCAATTTTGAATTTTCTCACCCATTTAGTCACTTATGAAGCACTAATAACCATCAGATTTAAATTGGGACCCGTGACCAGATAAGAAGATAAAAAGATTCATACCAAAGTATGCTTTCATTAATAAGAGATTCATACAATTAAAGGGACGAATCGAAGTAGCCATTGACCGGATTTCTTGTTATCTTTATTGAGAATGTTCTGTTCTTTGCGCTGAGTTTAGTCTTACTAATTTTTTTTTGCACAATACTAGTAAAAATTACATCTGTAACCAAACTTACTCTCCTCCATCTTGCATTATCGAAGAACAAGTTGGGCAATGACCCTTGAAGGTTGTCTGAAATCAGACGGTGCAGAGCGTTGGATGTCAGTGTCCACATTGGTCTGATTGCGGGGCTTTTGCGACCAAATCGCTGTCACTAAATATGTCCTAATTTCCTACCAACTGCATGTGAGACGCTTATGTTGGCTACTGACTGGGTCTGCAACAAATGACCAGCTAACAAGCCAGCTCTGAGTTTTAGCACCGTTGATGTTTTTGTCAAAAGAAGGTTCTCAGTAATAGTCATGGCTGCAACCCCGAGAATACTTCAAGTAATAATAGGGACGAATTATAAAGTCAGACGTTTTAAATTCGAATATTGACAACTACTTAAGATCAGGTCATAATGAATTTTTCTTCATGAATACCCTAGTCCGTGTGTAGATAGTTTGCATTTGACCGAATTGGGGAAGAGATTAGTCTAGGTACTCAAAAATTGATGTTCATAATCTGACTCAAATATCTCTAAAGGTTGGAAAAAAAAAAAAGTAATAGTCATGGCTTGCTTTCCAAGCAGAGTGTTTGAATACTTGTTAGATGTCCCCTATTGCTAGAAAGTTCATCTTGTGTTTATTCATAATGTTAGGTGCACGTTTGGAATGAGAATATTGACGGTGAGTTGATTTCATAAGTCAATGATTAAACTAGAGCTTTATGTGAAATGAAACTATTTTAACATTTTTTTTTTCTTTAGATGTGGAAGGAATAAAACAAGGTAGTCTCTAGAACTTCTTTACTCCAGTCGATTATGTAGGAGTCATTCTTTCATTGTTCCAACCCTACTCTAAAAAACGTTGTACTTGGTGTGTGTGGGGTTGAGGTGCAATAGGACATAATATAGGGGATAGACTGAAGGTTACCCCATTATTCATAAAAAAATTTAGA